TTTCAAATCGCAATCAATCTAAAACGAACTGATACGAGAAACAAACTTTAAACACTCTAAAAGCCATCTAAATTCAACATCTCAATTCAAAATATTCCGAATCACAAAATTCGAATAGCGATTTCAACCTCGAAATTTTCAGCTACCTATCACATCAATCATCTCGATTCTCTTCTAAACAAAGAGCTCGCTCCTTATTCTGCCACTCCACTCATTAAAATATTAAGGAATACTGATGAACTGGTAATGTAAAATTCACAAATGATACTCAAGTTCTCACGTTCTGCTGAATAAAAATATCACTCCGATGCTAAAAGAGAAAAATGATCAAAACAAACCCGAATTTTCAACATTGGCCGATATACTTTTGCCGTGCCACAGTTTCAGTGACGCCTTTTGGATTTCACGTGAGACTGTCGAATAGAATTCAAGCGTTGGACCAAAACCTGTGCCTGCTTCTCCTTCGAAACCCACTTCTAACATTGCTCTGCAAGGCAGCATCACTGATTGACCGATTGCATCTTATAACACCTCATCATTCCCGTCCCCTTCTTCTACCGAAATTCACATTCCGGATTTACCATCTGATTGTGAGATATTCCCCCATCACCCTCCCCTTTACTAAACCATTTAATCATCACTAGTTTCATCGTTCCACACCCACCTACTCCAGTTCCTCACCTGTTCCTAATATACCTTCGGACCTACTAACTTCCACTAGTAAAAAGATGAATCCACAAGCGTTTGCAAGTGCTAACCTGCTTCCTCCTAGATGATTCATGGTTTGTTCGGCTTGCCGTAACAAGTCATCGCGTTTAATCGACACTTTACGTCTTTCTAATCTGGGCGTCAATCGTCCGCTCTCTCCATCGGCATGACCGCCGTCAGTTTGATTCACTAAATGCATGAGAGCACGATCGCGACCAAATGCCGTACAATACAACAGATTACGACGAGACGTAAACGTGAAGATGAATGGCCTGAAATGTTCACCAATTCATTACTCTATCCAAATACCAATACCGCACCTGCCATCGGAATAAAAACTTCTAAAAGAAATGAATGACAGAACTGTTATATCCAGCGATAAAGATGGTGACGTTAATAATAATAACAGAAATGAAAAACAGTGAAAAGACCAATTAATGGATGATGGTTACAATACCAATGATAATTAAAAAACAGTGATAACGGTAACAAAAACAATCGAAAAACAAAAATCTTTTAATAGATAATAAAGCTAACGCTGCTCTAACGAGATCCGTAGTCCATTTGGGTAGTTGTTGAGTGGCGACCGACAGGAAATCGGACAGTTGACGGGACATTTTGGCATTCAATTTGGCTGAATGAAATGATCTGAAATATGAAATGTCTTGTATTATGATCGATTGTTATAACATTACTGAAGTCGTTGATGCTCTTTTCAAATTCAGTTAATCATTCAAGCGATCCATTCATTACAAACATTAAATTCGTTTCATTCCCAAACAAAAACACACAAAACATCAAAAACAAAATTAAAAGTCATGAAAAAAAACTTTAAAAAAAAAAACAAAAAGGAAATCACAAACGTGTGAGGTAGTAACGGAGCGTGACTTGTCGGTGGCACATCCTCGTCGTCGAACAGTGACCACCAAAAACGATTCAGTCCATACAAACAACGCAACAGAACCAACGAACACACTGACGGATCATCGATTTCAACCGGAAGTTGACTAGTCAAATACGGATCCAATGGGCTATCATATGTCGGTACTTCACCATCTAAAACTTGGTTCTTTTGAAAATTTGAATCAGTTCTGAAAAATTGTTGAATTCAAACTTTTCTCTTGCATCTAACTTCTTAGTTCTGCCTGAATTTTTGTAGCCGTCCCATGAACAATGTAACATAAACAATGAAGAATAGGAAAAGAATAACACATGTAATAACAATTGATGATAAATAAACTCTTTTTACATGGAATAAGTCGACAGCATTACCAATTACGTAGATGCATGAAAAAAGGTAAACCAATGGATGAATAATCAAACCAGTAAACTGATTCCGACTGAGGAGATAAAACTGACCTAGCCAAAGTTTCTCATCAATCTTATACTTTCGCTCTTTTCGTTCTGCTTTCGAGTTGCCTGGCGATTTGGACGAAGATGCAGTTGTTGGAGTGCTAGGGGAATCGTTATTGGATTCTGGAGGTGGCGAGTTCGATGCGGCTCGATAGTAGAGTGTATGAGTGTTCACCCAGAGGCCTGTGGCCATTGCCAATTGATCACTACCATCGCTACTCATCATCGCAGGTGAATACTGACGAATCGCCTGCAAAACCAATCAAACCGTGAAGATTTAATTTTCACAACCATATTTCTTACTATGAGCACTATTATTCTTATTATAACTTGTTGTATCGCATCGTCATATGTATCTATCTATCGATCATATCATAAGTATCATATAAAGACAGATGATTCCCAACGTTATTACCGCTAGCTACACGGAAAGAAAGGAGGAATATGACATTAGTGATAACAGAGGCACAAGCTCGTAATGAGTTGGATTTGCTGATCAAATACATAAATAAATAAATAAATATTGTATCTTACCTGTAATATCGACATATGCCCAGGAATCCTTTCGTCATTTATCAAAATATCAATCCGACGCTGAGGCCCAGTTTGACCGGAGAAAGATCCCTCCTGAATACACCAACAATCAACAATTTCAAAGAATTCACCACCAGATACGAACGAAATGTTTCTGTGTCATTCGAATTTTATTCAACAAAAATTTTGCTTCGAGTTCGAAATCAGTTTGCTCTCAAACTGTGAAACTACTAAATAATAGCGAATCGAAACAAACCGATGGCATTTCGTCATCATCACTTGCATCCTCGTCTCCAGACGAATCCTCGCCACGCACATAACCAACACCTCGATCCAGCAAATATCTCTCTATCGCTGATATCGACGTGAACGGATCCACCTGGAAAGCATTAAGTGAATCAAACGAGTACTAATCAAAGAATCTCTCATTTCATACAACATTTAACTAATCGAATGAAAATCTCTGATGGTAGTTCCACTCTATCAAATCAAGAGAGTAAAAAATGATCATACTTTGATAGAGCCATGTCCGTGTCTCCATTCTTTCAATTCACGACAAGTGGGATGCCTCCTTAGATTACACTGAAATCATGAAATCAGTTAACGTGGTCAGCGATGAATATTGAGCGCTTGAATAGAAACCTTTTGAGAAGCAAAATGCAATGAAAACAATTTTGCTGTTGTTAAAACTTTTCATTTCACGATTTGAAAAATAA